TTTGCAATGACTAAGCGCTGCTTGTTCGGTTCTGTCACTGGCGTGAAGTAGTCTCGTAGGGGTCCATCCACAAAAGCAAAGAGAGTCTACACCACTTCTGCTGGGCTATGCCTCTGAGATAAAATGTACTTCACCAACAAAAAGGTCTCTCAGTACAGCAATCGGATTGGTATCATAGCGGAAATCCAGAGATGGGAGAGAAATGCTCAGTTCGCTAGGTGCCTTCCCTGCTCCAGGCAGCTCCGAAGGAAAGAGCCTATCGCGCGGCGCAGGATTGTGAGCGAGAAGATCATTGGGCGAGTTGCTGATTGTTGTTTAGGCTGGCTCCTACAGTCTACACCACTTTCTCTTACGCAACCTATCTGAACCGATGCAAGGGTAGGCGGGAAGCTCCTGCCGTGATCTCTCTGCGTTCCGCCCCCTCTGTGCGCGTAGGCTCGTTCTCGAGCACCATGTTCTCGTATTCGTAAGAAGTTAAATTGCTCTAAAGTATTCGCGTGCACAACTAATCATAAGTTAGCACCTTATCGTTTGCAGAAATAGCAATCAAGTGAAACAGGCTGGGCCCTGCATTGATTTGGCGTCATACATATACTATTATTCAAAGGTAACAACTAACGGCAAGCTTACTTTGTTGGCCATAAACCTATGGGTATTAGCTTAACCTGGCCGGTTTGTCCGACATTGGTTTGGATTGTTAAATCTACGAATTCTACGAATTAGAATGGGAAGTTGGTTATCTGTGTGTGAGTTAATTCATTAAATAAGGGGTAGCCGCGGATGCTCCAACGGGTGCGGATGGTGCTGAGGCACAATGACACGAAGTAGATGATCCTCGCCAGTAAGAAGGCGTCAATCTTTGGCGCGTGGGCCAGTGCACGCCCACCGATCATCTGATCACTCGCCGCAGGTCTATACGTGGCGAGTGATTAGATAGGTGAGAGAGCGTAGTGTTGAAGAGGGCACAGCGATGAGTCGCATCAATGCTCAAATCAACGGGCAAGGAAGGGGTCCCATTTCTCGGGTTCTGGGCCGTTTCTCATGGTTTTTCCTTCTTAGTGTACCACTCACCATCGCTAAGTTAATTTGAAATGGGTTGCATTTCCAGACGTGAAAGTATTTGGACAGTCCATCATGATTACGCCTTTCCTATATGTCTATGTTGTTGTTACGAGCTCTCTCCTATACTTTCTGAAGGTTGCGGTCGCTTTGATAGTATTTATAATTATGCTATTCTCGAGCGTTTCCTCTCTAATCGCTTGGCTTGAGTAATTTTTAAGAGTAACCAGGTCCAATATATAGCACAGGTGATTCGATAACGCTTGCAGTAAGCTTCAAAGCTTCAACGTGACATCAAAGTCTCGTGGGAGTTGAAGCTCCGGATTAGAAGGCAACCCTTAATATCTTACAGTACAACGAGCAACATAAGTCGCTGCCGGCTTTTGACACAGTCTTTTAATAATACGGGAGTGACACAAAAAGGAGACATTGACTCCAACATTTTCTAGACAAGCAATTAAATCAAACACCTCTATGCTGAAATCAAATCGGAACAGCCACCACATATACAGAAAATTCGAGAGCACATCTCAATCTAAATCGTAAAAACATTCCATGGCAGCCTTCTACACCGACGACATCAGAAGATTTTCCCACGGAAACATGGTTCGCTATACGAGCTCAACGGGGTCATCGAGGTACCATAGACCATTACGACGTCCCTGAAATGCTGGTCAAAAGCGGTTTTGCATAGTCACAGCTAATGTCTCTAGGAAGCTATTCAGCAGTTAATCTATTGAAGAAATTATGAAGCAGCTTCAGGCCGGAGCGATTACGGTAAGCCTCGTTGAGCTCGACGGTGGCGGCAGATGACGTCATATTCTAAAGACGGCGGGGACAGTAAAGGAGGGTTTGCTTCTCTGTTTACGGGGGAACACCTTAGGAAATATTTTGACACGAAACTTTCATTACCATCGGCACCCTGTGCGACGAAAAGTTCGATGATGAGTTCGGTGATGTGCGCCATGGGCAAAGTGTCTCTTTTTTTTGGCCACCCCTGTACATTGTCAAAGATGTGTGACGAGTTTGCGTGGCCAGACTAGGTCAACAACAGCGGCTTGAAGCCGTAGGCATGCACGTTTTGTTTGTGACAGCGGCACTTGAAGAACTTTACACGTTTAGCAGACTCGAAAATAAATAAGTAATTCAAAAAAAGCCGTGGCAACTTTTTCATTTGGTACATCCAGCCCGGGCTTCCCGCCAAGGAAGTCGTAGGCGATGCAAAATTAGATAGGTCACCCTTTCTGTATACCTCTCCGAAAAGATGATGCGTGAAGGTGATTAGTACCAGAAGGTAGCGAAATGAAGATGGAAACATAACAAGGACGCTTCCAGAGCAGTGATTAACCATAGACGAGAGCCTACAAAACCATTCTCTCACCACGACCTGTTTTTTGTCGTTGAATGCAAGAGACAAAAAGAAAGAATAAATAAGAGACGAAGTGACAATGTGAAATAAGGCAGACGTCATGTTTAGTAAAATACTGAAGCGCTAGGCTTCGCGGCTGACAGATGCTTTCAGGCGCAAACTCAAAACCTTCGCAGTGTCCGCCGTGTCCACAGTCCAGCCCGAAGAATCTCTCACCTTCCGAATTTGAAGCGCAGACGCACCGTCAACTCCGCCATTTCGAATTTAAATGTTAAATCAAATCTAAGGGCAAACACAAGATCACGTCAAAAGCGAAAATAAATAAGAGAGTAGCTGACTGATTGCTGCGACATGGATGACTATTGAATTGATGCTTCAAGGCGTATTGGTTAGGCCGGTACATGTAACAAGAATTGATAAGACAAGGGGAAGTCCCTTCATCACTCTGGTTGAGATGACGGCAACATCAAGATATCATAAGTACTATGAGATATCTATATACTATGAGATATCATAGTATCAATAAGTGTGATTATTACGATAGCTGAGTGGCTGCTACCGTTATTAAAGACAGCGATAAAGAGGGAGCGCATCGGGGAAGCATATGCACCACACGAATCAGTTACTTGGCTGCCAGGGAAGCGAGGTGTAGCGCTTTCACGACGAAAGGTGCGCTGGTTGCTGAGCAGGACTTCGAAAGCACTCCGCCCCAAAAGCGATCCGCCCACTAGTTTAGTTGGTGATTTGGACGAGCTGCGTTGCCAGCAGCGGCACAACTGGAGCAACTCGATTGGAGCGTGGTTTGGCATGGTGCCACCAAACGCGTTGCGGTGAACTCGTTCATACGTCCGCTTTCTGAGCTGTTACCTGTTCATGAGTGAAAACCAACGGCCAAAAAAGGGGTCCCGTTTTGCGTTTTCTTGACGGATTTCTCTGCTTTTTTCGCCACTGGCGTACCATTGAGCACCACCACGTCTCCTCTGAACCCTTCTTGAACTATCGTAATCACTACTTAAAATCATTAAACTTCAGTGTCAACGATTTTCGGCAAAGTATGAGCGTTTTGGTGTAGATCAGATTACTATCTATAGAACCACCATAGACCAAGCAACGAGAATCGAATGCAATCATTCTAGACGAGACGGCGCGTTTCTGTGACCACCCAAGCTCAATATGTGGATAGGATTTGCAGTGTTGAGACTTCTTGAAGAAGCAAACTGCTATCCTAGGCTTGTGTTCACTTTGACAAGAACATCCGTTGTACCTCCCACTATCAAAAAGCTCCCACTCATTTGGCAAGGGTGGTGCAGAGCTGGTGCAAGGCTAACTTCCCCGACTTCATCAGCTTCAACGAGTGGCAGGTCAGCACTTCAGATCAGAATTCGATGGATTACAGGGTATTACGGCGAACGGGAGTTCGCATGCGATTCTGGAGGTGGACAAACCGTTGGCACGATAACTGTCAGTTCTTTTGATTCTCGAATGAATGGCTCCACAATACGTGAGACGAACCAACGCACCAAACTTGCAGCCACCGTCAATGCTTCCTTGGTGTTTCTCAAGGCCTGTGTGTGTGAAAAATGTTCAAAAGTCAATGGAGGAATTCTTGATATTTGCTAAATGTTGTTGCTTCATGCGTGAACAATTAAACAAACCATTTTTCCCAAAACTGTAGCATTTATAATACATCCCAGGCGACTCTAAAAGTTGTCCCCATTATTTCGGCGCACCCTGTGGATCCAAAACCAACCACATTTCCGATATCCAGAGTGGAACGTCGAATTTCATATATAATATACCATGCTTCGGATATCGGAATAGTCAAGCTGTCGAATAACTTCTTATGCCGCTGATATTGTAGAAACAGTTATCATATTTCCACAGACGCCGACCATTTAAGAAGCTGAGGCAGATTAGACTATGTCGTCGTGATCCATCGAGTGGTTCATGACGACAACCGAAGGATTGATATGTTTTCTTATCCAACATCTGGATAGGACTTCAGTGACATTTGCCTTCCAACGCTTCTTATCAGCCCCTATCAGCCGTTATCACTTTCTGGTCCCCATCAAATATGTTCCCGTCCCACCCCCTATCATATCTGAAATCAACTCCAGGTGACTGCTGGTGCGCGCGCTACGAATTTCATGACACACAGACATACTTAGTGAATTATATGTAGTAGGATTGGTTGCTTTTTCATCGTAAATTCTGCCTTTAAGCAAAAATTCTCCGAAAAGCTATTTTCGATCATTGCCTCCGAAGAACTTTTACAGTTTACCTAGTATTTCTGGATTCCTGTGCAGTTCGTTTGTTCCATCAAGTTACTATAAGTTTTTGACGACATAATATCTTTGTCCTCGTAATTTTGGCCCACCCTGTATAGTTGAGGAAGCGAGGGGGAGGAAGACGGGGGAGGGGGCAAGCGAATGCTTCTACTCGAGTTTGTCTCTCTTTTCTCTTAATATCTCTTTCGCCAGCTAAGCGAACATCAAACACTTTTTTGAATGCACAACAACACATTTCGCTAACGATAAGACAGATGAATGTCCTGAGGAAATTATTATAACATATGGTTTTGCAAGAAGAAACATACGACGGAAGTGGCGAGCTCTCAATGAACTTCACTTCTCGGAGGAAGATCAGCGCCAAACGGTAATTCAATACTTTCTTTACACAATGTATTTAAACTATGTGATTGATCGGCAAAAAACACTTCTCCGTCCGTCACCCATGTCATTATTTCTCGTCATCCCCAATGCTGCACCCGTCACAACTTCGTCGCGATGAGTACAGGTCGTTCAAGTTCATAAGTCTCATGCTATAGAGAAAACTTCTCTACATATTAATCCTGAGACTGTTCACCTTCTTCCTTTCCAAAATTGCAGAACATTTCAGACGTGAGTCGCGACGGTGGCGGGATCCTTTGGAAAAGGCGCTTCGACCAGAAAACATACTACTCAAGGAAACTAACACAAGCGAAGCGAAGACGGCTGACGTATGTAATGTTTGGTGTTTGGGTAGATATTTGAAAAAATAGACAAACAGACTCAGCCTACCTGGTTTCTGGACATTTTGCCGTACTTTTTGGCATTTTTGTTCCTTTTTATTCAATTTTTCCGCGTGTGGAGGAAGTTATGCGATGGTAAACTGCGACACTTCCCACGCTCAGGATGAAATCCTTGAATTTCGCGCCGCAGTCAATCCAGCTTCGCACCCCCTTCTGGCGGTTGTACAGAGAAAAGCTCATAGGGATTGAAAATAAGGGTAGAGTGTCTGGTGGCACCAGAGAATGGAGGAAGAAACCATGTGGCAATTGACCGAACCAGAAAGTGGCTCGCTTCCTGTGCCTTGATATAAATTTCCGCTCGTGGTGTGAACTCTCAACATACTGCTCTCGTTTGCTGTCTAATCAATTTGCTTGTTTAATAGCCCTTCAGCGAATTATAAGGGTGCGTAAAAATTTACGTGCTCCACGGAAATATTGATTTATTTTTTTTTCATTAGACAAGAAGACACCTTTTATCAGAAGTTTATCGATAAAAATCATCTGGGGGTGCACATATAACATGATGCTTGTCTCCAATCATTGAGCTTTTCAGTCGAACGAACTCTCCAGCATTTTCCACAATCAAATGCTTCCCGAGGAGCTGAGTAACATGAAAGCTGAAGGTGATTTAGGAGTTTTTAGCTGCTCAAATGGGAGATTTTTTTCGTCAAACCTGAGGACTCTCCAGCTCCGCCGCACCATCGAATCAATGATTCGAAACTAACCAACTGACAGCGGTCTTTTTTGGAACTTTTTACAACAATTTGGTGTTAGATTTTGTTGTTTTATGAAATTAATTTCCATCGAATTTTTGTGGACCTATAATGAAGTTACTTTTTCATGGCGCACGTAAATTTTCGCTACCTTGTATAGTCTGTGCGTTCGCGCTAAAGTGTACCATCAAAGTCAGGCCTCTAAATCGCTGGTGCATATGTTCAATTCAGATTTATTTTGTTTGGCAACCTTAGAGATATCCTGCCCTGTTTTTCTACTAGGTGAGTTTCTCTTCTTCTCCGACTTTCGCTTTAATCGTGAATCTCATCTAAAGAAACAGTCTGAACAGGGTTTTTTACCTTTACAATGATGGTTGTGGAACGGTGGCCCGTAGCCAGCCATAGAACATAAAGTGTAAGTGAACAAAAATCACCTGGAAAGCTGCTAGAAATGGAGCTGAACGGTTTCGATGGGCGTGGTTGCTCAGTCTTCTGCAATCCCTCGGCCGACTTCCAATGTTGACTTTTCTTCAGTCACACTTCTTATGCTCTTGACTAGGGCTAGCGTATCGTTCCACGCCATTTGTGTCGAAGGTAAAAGCTCTGCTGGACTGCTCCTTCGAACATAATAGAGCTAAGGATGAAGAAAAAGGCACTTCCCTGAACGATTCCATTTGGATGCGGCTTTGCTTGTTACGCAATTTTCTTCATTGTAACATTCTTAAAGCGGCGTTGATGAATGCGAGTGTGCCTATTCAACGACTGCGACGGCAGCGATCTAAATCTGTTTTTTGTCCGCAAGTCTGGTACCATTTAACGCGATCCCGAGGTGGAAAGAAACCTTGGTTGGCACGGGACGAATCACGAGCCAGGACCTGCTTGCGCTGGGTAACTCGTGCACTTGCACTTACACCACTTCCGCTCTAATAGAGCTACGTGTTCTAATTGAATAAGCCCTCTCCATGGGATTATTTTCTGGTCTTGGTTTACTCCCAACAAGCGCGAGCTTATTTTATTTTGTAAGATCAAATGAAAATGTTAAATGTTGGAACTAAAATTCTATCAGTTTTTAGAGTGGTCCGTTCCGCCTTCCACTTAGGCGAACCACTTTATTCCGCCATTCCTAAGAGCTCCCTCAGTGGGTCTCGGCGTGACAGAACCAACCTAATTTGTTAGGGTTATAAAAAAGAATGAGGAACAATTCTTATCCATCAGTTTGGACCTCATATAAATCCATAAAAATAAAACAGTCCTAACAAAAATTTTGTATGAAGAAACCACCTATTATCCCTAAAATACATTAGGGGGGGGGCGTACTGAGGCTATAATAACCATAATAAAAGCAAACTTCCCAATGAGCGCAATAATATCCAGCTAGTTTTACGAGTTATTAAATGCGTGTGAATAAAAGGCAAAGCTGAAACGGAATTAAAGGATCAAAAAACAAGACTAAGAAACAAAATCGAAATTCTAATAAAAACTTGGACTTTTTTTATTCCGGTCAACTGAATGAAGTCAAGATTCTGATATGCGTTTGCACTTTTCATGGCGCTGTATTACCAAAGTTAAAGTCATTGTTCCTTCACATGAATCTCACGTGACGTCAGCTCGTTCAGAACCAATGAAGTCGGATGTGTTTCAAGGCTTTGTTACTGCTTGGAAGGGCCATCGAACAGTGCGGAATTGAGAATGAAATTGCTACCTTTTTGAAGAAGAAATTTGACGAGAAGCATGGTGAGATTGTCGAACCATTAGACTAACCCGATAGCATAATTGTTTAATCTGAATTAATACCGCTTAACAATATTTTAAAAACCTGGGGTGAGAGATGTACCGCTCTCGCGGATTGAAAGTATGCCACAAAGTCCCTAGCGTAACCTCAAGTACCATTCACAAAATTAGAAGCTAGCCAAGGCGTAGCTAACTGGCAGCGGACGATAGATTTTCAGCTGCCACTGCGCACCACAGACGATTGAATGGCGCATCCTAGATCGAAATTTCCATAGAGCGAGATTTCTTACTAAAATACGTCATGTTCCAGTGAGCACAAGCGAAAAATTCTTCCAGAGAAACTCCATGCTTTAGAACAAATCAAAGTGGAGGAAGTGCAGCGAATTCAGGCTGATTGACCTCTGGAGTACTAATAGAAACCTATGGCAGGAGAAAGGTTTTCCTTCCAAGATAATCTAGCATCTGCTATATAGTACTGATCTTTCTGATTTCAGTGGTCTTTACCGCTTCTCAATGTACCGACTTTGAAGAAACTTACGGCCATTTGAAAGTTGAAACTTCGCAACGGGACGATTTTTCGAAAAAGTGGTCATTGAAAAATCTCGACATTTTTCGAAGGGTCAATCTTCTAGTTTCTAATTAGCTTTGAAATCTGCAAAAAGTTGATAATGAAGGAAGTTATGAACGTTTGAATGACGAAAACTCGCGCGTTCTCAAAAATCGGACCACAAACCCCTGAAAAACGGAACAACGGGACTATTTTTTGAGAAGTGATCTTTGGAAAAAGTCAGGTGCTTTTTTGAAAGCGCTAATCTTCTAGTTTCTAATTAGCCTTGACATCTGCAAAAAGTTGATTATGAAGAAAGTTATGAATGTTTGAATGTCGAAAACTCGCGTGTGCACAAAAAACGGAACAACGGGACGATTTTTTGAAGAATTGAACATTGCAACATTTCAAAAACTTTTTGGAAAGGAACAATTTGAAGTTTTAAATTTTATATCCCATCTCATGAGACCGCTTTTGAAGAAAGATATAACCTTTCAAATAAATCACATCTCAGAGTATATGAAGCTTCCAAGCTAGGAAGATTCTCCCGAGAAACAGGACCCTAGTTGGCTCCTTTATTTCTGCAATGGAGCCGGTCTCATCGGTGCTGACGTCATCAGTGCGAAGGCTCTGCGTCTTGCTAAAGCCGTAAAGTCCAGGGTCAGAGTCCAATGGAAATGGGTTCGCCAATCGCTGTGTGGGCCGGCGCAGATGACTCCTGCGAG